CTGTTTCACTTTATCTGTTTTTATCAGTTTGTTTTTTTTCACTCTTAAGCTCTTTGACTTTATTTTTCATGTATGTAAAGCACATTGAGTTGCGTTGGTGCATGAAATGTGCTAATACATAAACTTGCCTTGGCTTGCATTGAATAAGACAACGGTTATTATGTGGTCACAGTGGATCCTCATGGGTGTGATGTTATTCATTGTAACGCAGCACCTTGAGTGTTCTATTGCTTTTTAAAGAGTAAATAAAATGTAATGCAAAGAAATAAATTTAAAGACAAGTCCTAAACATACATTATCCAAGCTGCTTATCCTCCTGGGTCGCAAGGCTTGCTGGAGCCAATCCCAGCGGTCTTTGGGCGGAAAGCATGAAACACCCTGGACAGGTTGCCAGTCCATCACAGGGCAGACAGACACTCAGACATACACATTCACATACACTTAGGGGCAATTTAGTGTCTCCAGTTGGCCTGACTGTCTCCACGTAGAAAAGACGCTGGTAGCCCGGCTGGGGAATCGAACCCAGGCCCTTATTGCTGTGAGGTGACAGTGCTACCCACTGTATATATTTTAACACGGGCAGCTTCTTTAACCAAAAAAGTAGTTCCAGCAGCTTAGAGTAAGCTGACCCTTGTTGTTGTTGAGTGTAATGATATTGGTAAAAACATGCTGTTTTCAGATATAACAACACGGTTAGAACCTTTTCAATCATTCAGATTGTTTGGGTGAAGTTATAGACTCTTATTCAGGCTTCAGTCTGTTAGTCCACAGGGCTTTTAGGGGGGAATCCCACCAGGTTTTCAAATTCCTTTCTTATTTTAGTGGTGTAAACAGAGTGATTCAGAGTGGTTTGACGTGAGATGGTTCAGATGTCTTTACAGTGGTGGAGATCAGGCATACCAGGGGTCGCCATGACTACAACACAAATACAGACATTTTATTTACTATCCAAAACCACTAGTGGACCTACACGAGTCTTCTGAGTTTTTATTTGGGATGTTGATGATGGGAAAATAGAGGAAAACCTGAAAATATCTTTATTTTCGGGGATAACTGTTTTGCCTCACTACATATACATGTATATCTTAGCTATGACTGGATTAAACTCCTTAGACATCTGGTTCCTATCACCACCACTTTGACACCACACCACATTTTTGACTCAGTAAGTTTCTCTAGAATGGAGCATTTCACACCAAACCACTCCGAATGACTCTGTTTACATCTTAACTAAGTCTATGTAGTAATGCAGAAATTTAAAAAATCGGTGGAATTCCCCTTTGAATGTGTTGGACTTACAGCTGTTTTGCAGACAGAAGAATCTCTGACATTAGTGATATTATTATATCATTCTCCTGGCGTATGGCCTTCCTCCTAAAGGAGTCTGTTTAATGTGTTGGCTATATCTAAAACATATTCTGTGTCATGCATATCTTGCAAATATTTTAGGCCTTAAAATCCACATTTACATTTGAAGTTGCCCCCATTTATAGAAATGCAAACTACTGATTCTAAAATTATGCATTATTGTTCGCATTCGTCTTTTATGCGACATATGATTTTGCCTATAGGTCTGTAGAACTCCTTTGAATGGGAAATGGAAACAGAGGCTATTCTGTTAAGGAAAAAATGAACTTAATAATAAAGCTGAGGATCTCAGGATCTAATTTACACCAGTGGTGAACTGAGACTGTTAGTGCTAGACCTTCAGTTCAAGCCATAAATGTCAAAACTCATGTGTCAGTATCGTCGACAGCAATGCTAGTTTCTACTAGCGCATCTATGGGATAGTAGTAGTAGTTTAACAGTGATCTACATGAACATTTTAGCTGATTTAGATTAAACCAGACATTCAAATTCCATCCATATGGTTCATTTGAAGCTTGTAACAGACATTGACAAACACTTAAATTTGTACGTATCAGGTTTACAGTAAACAGTGCCGCCGTCCCTGTTTTCCATCCCTAACAACGAACCCAAACCTGCTTAGACTATGACTCGTATTCACAATCAGTAACATATCTACTTAGATACCATGGGGGGAAATATAATTTTCTGTTTGCTATTTAAATATTCTACCAATTTAGTTTCTAACCAAAACCTAAAAATGAAAGAAGAGTACTGCTACAATAGAAGATGATGTTTGCTTCTTTTGCTTTAGCACTGGAGCTACGAGGCTAATGTACCTAACAAGTAATGGAAGCTAATATTGAAGCAGTTAGCACTGTGCTAACTGCATGTTAAAACCGTTCAGATGTTTAATAATCTCAAACCGATTTGCTTATTGGTTTCTGACACTGTATGACACACTGTTATCTATATACATTGACTAAGGTACGCTAGCATAGATAAAAACAGTGGCAGCCATCGTGAAGAGTGAATTGAGCCTGTACTTCTGCAGTTTGCAAGATGCTAACTGATGCCAATAAGCAGTGGCGAACCGCCAATTACACCAAACTGAGGCCTTCAGTTTGGGCCATAAATTGCAAGACTTGTTTCTACGCTCATTGTCCATTTTATCAGCTCCACTTACTATATAGGTGCACTTTGTAGTTCTACAGTTACAGACTGTAGTCCATCTGTTTCTCTGATACTTTGTTATCCCCCTTTTACCCTGTTCTTCAGTGGTCAGGACCCCCATGGACCCTCACAGAGCAGGTACTATTTGGGTGGTGGATCATTCTCAGCACTGCAGTAACACTGATGTGGTGGTGGTGTGTTAGTGTGTGTTGTGCTGGTCTGAGTGGATCAGACACAGCAGTGCTGCTGGAGTTATTATATACATACATTTTGAGCCCTGCGATGGACTGGCGACCTGTTCAGGGTGTATCCTGCCTTCCGCCCAATGACAGCTGGGATAGGCTCCAGCACCCCACCGCGACCCAGAAGGATAAGCGGTTTAGATGATGTATGTATGTATATACATTTTGAATTTTGCTTTTCATCATCTACAGTACATAATATCATTAAAAGATTCAGAGAATCTGGAGAAATCTCTGTTTGTAAGGGACAAGACCAAAAACCAGTATTTGCTGGCCATGACCTTCGGGCCATCAGGCAGCACTGCATTAAAAACAGATATGATTCTGAAATTCTGAAACACTTCTGAAAATCACTGTCTGTGAAAACAGTTCGTCGCTGCATCCACAAATGGTAATTAAAACTCTTAAACGCAAAGAAGACACCATATATAAACAGGATCCAGAAACGCTGCCACCTTCTCTGGGCCTGAGCCCAATTAAAATGGACTGAGGGGAAGTGAAAAAGTGTCCTGTGGTCCAACGAATCAACATTTTAAATTCTTTTTGTAAATCATGGACACTGTGTCCTCCGGGTTAAAGACTCAGCTTGATATCAGTGCACAGTTCAAAAGCCAGTATTCATGATGGTATAGGGGGGCATTAGTGCACATGGCATGGGTGACGTGCACATCTGTAAAGGCACAATTAATGAACGATATATACATGTTTTGGCAACATATGCTGCCATCCAGACGACGTCTTTTTCAGGGAAGGCCTTGATTATTTCAGCAAGACAATGACAAACCACATTGTTCATATATTACAACAGCATGGCTCTGCAGTAAAAGAGTCCGGGCACTAAACTGACCTGCCTGCAGTCCAAAACTGTCAGCATTGAAAACATTTGGTGCATTATTAAATGAAAAATACGACAAATGAGCCCCTGAACTGATGAGCAGCTGAAATCCTGTATCAAACAAGAACAGGCGGAACATTTCACTTTCAAAACTACAGCAGTGTCTCTTCAGTTCCCAAATGCTTACAGAGTGTTGTTAAAGAAGAGATGATGAAACACAGTGGTAAACAGGCCCCCGTCCCAACTTTTTCGGAACGTGTTTTTGGTATTAAATTTAAAATGGGCTTTTTTTTCTAAAAAACAAAAAAAAAAATTCTCACTTTCAACGTTTGATATGTTGTCTCTGTACTATTTCCTTTAAAGATATGGTTTACAGTATTTGCCCATCATTGCATCTTATTTTTATTTACATTTTGCACAGCGTCCCAACTTTTTTGGAAATGGGGTTGTACATTTTTACTTGTTTTAAGTGATTTTATCTAGTGAAAGTGTCTTATTCCATTGGCAGATTAGTTTACTTGTTTCGAGAAATAATGAAGATAATTTTGCTCATTTTAAGAAATAATGATTAAAACAAGGAACATAAGCTGCCAATGAAATAAGACACTTTTATAAAATAAAACTGCTTAAAAAAGTAAGAATGTCAAGAAATAAGTTAAATAATCTCACAATATTCTAACGACAGTCTCATAATGAGAAATTAGATTAATTGACCACATTTAAGATGTTTGCACTTGCTGATATATCATTTTTTGCAGTGCAGATCACTGGAAGGCCCTGAGGGTTCGCCTCTGCTAATAAGGTGGGGAAATTGTCTAATTTTGTATTTGTGTGAATTAGATTTTTGCCCACACTTCTGCTTTATTGGTGATGAAAGACCGTTCCCCTTTAACACTTGCTTCTGGGGCTAAAAAAGCAACAGCTTCAGGAAAGGTGAAGTGAGCACAAGTGCAGGCATGACTCTGAGTCACACGCATGATGCATCTTAAAAATGCCTTTAAACAAAACACTACTGAGGTACAACCCAGTCACTTCTGAACAGATTATGCAATGTTTATGCTTGCATCACTGTAACTATTGTGCATTGTTTAGTTTTTCTTTCTAAGCACAATCGTTTCAATTGATTTACAAATCCTACAAATGTAAAAGTCCTTGAAGCTGTTTCCCAACTCAGCAGCGCTATCAAAGTACAGTCCGCAGAGCCTCAGGTGGAGGTGTCCATGGACTCCGTTCAAGGCCACACACTCACACACACACCACACACAGAGACTTTCCTAGAGGTATCTGGCAAGTGTAGGTTGTCTTTTCTGGCATGCGAGTGGTTTATGGGCTGTGTCAAAGCCAACGTCTGACTCTCAGAGAGTATAAAAGCTGAGGACTGGTGATAAACTCTCTAAGAGCATCTCTCTGGGGCTTAGAACAACCGGCTGTCTGTGGCTCCTTCCACCCCTGCAGCGAGGATGATTAGCGTGGCTCTGATTTGGGCGGTCGTGGTGGCGATCTGCTGCTGCCTGTGGCTCATCCTGGGGATCCGCAGGAGGTAAATATACAACCTCTCACCTTTACAAATATAAATACATTAGATACATGTTCACATTCAGATGTGTATGTGTGAACTGAATATATATGTACAAAGTGATTCTTTATATATAGACTGAAAATTGTTTAACTGTAATGTATAAACTTCATATATTATCATAGTATCATATAACATATTTGCAAATATGTTTACACCCAAAATGATTCATATATATGAATACAAACTGAACAAGCACAAACTGACTCCCGTGTATATGTTTAAACTGAATATATACAGAGTGATTCACATATATCTATATGTATAAACTTACACATAAACTTAATATATGTACAAACTATAAATGTGTAGAAACTGAATGAATATACACACACACACACACACACACACACACACACATACACACACACACAGACAGCAGTTTACAAATATATTCAGTTTATACACATATTTGTGAATGCTATATACATTGCATATACATATGTGTTTATGTACAAATTAATTTGCATTTATATGTTTAGATTGAATATATGTAACTACATATATCTGAAAACTAAGCATAAACTGAATATGTGTAAAAATATAAATTTGTGTATAAACTGAATGATGATATATATTCGCATTCGCACTGATGTCTGAATACATACACACACATATATGTATATATATATATATATATATACATATGTATTCAGACATCAGTGTGAATATTGTGTGTTTATATACAAACTAATACACATGTTTAAACTAAATATATGTAACTAAATGTCTCTGCAAAATCTGCATAATCTGAATATATGTCAAATTTGATTTATATATATTTTTGTCTAAAACTGAATATAGCTTGCATATCTATATTTTGCCTAATGTGCATATGCATGCACAAACATATTCACATATATTTTGAAATATTTAAACTAAATATGTTCAACATACCTGCAGCCAAATTTGATTCTATGTATAAACTGAATGTTTCCTGGTGAAAATGAAATATATTGTTGCCAGTACATTTCAAAATGTAAACAGAGTGCATTCTAATACATCTTCAATATACATGTGAATACAGTGAGAAATATATATTGACTGCATTTAAGATGTTTACACTTGCTAATGTACTATTTTTTTGTGAGTGAGTGGATTGAGATGTGTTAAAGAAAATCTTATTTACTCCAGTTTAGATACTTATTAAAGTATTCTTTGTAACTGACAAAAGTAAACAGTATAATTGAGCTCATCAGCTTTGCATGAGACATATTTAATGGTAAACTAAGTGAAACAGTGGCTTTCATTATTTTGACATGTGTCTCGTATTGTATGATCCCACCCTGCGTCTTTCTCTGGTGGACCAAGTCCACAGTTGTATTCAGTTTTCTCTGGAATCTGTTTCTCTATCCGCTGCGTGACAGGACATGCTGGTGTTGCGTGTTTGGGTGGTGTTATGCTGAATTGCCTGGAGGCAGTAGCTAAATGTGCCTGGTTATGGATGTTTCAGACAGCCTGGGGAGCCTCCGGTGGAAAACGGCTGGATCCCTTACCTCGGCTGTGCCCTCCAGTTCGGGGCCAACCCCCTGGAGTTTCTCCGCAGCCGGCAGAAGAGGTACGGCCACATTTTCACCTGCAAAATCGCCGGCCAGTACGTCCACTTCCTCTGTGACCCGTTCTCTTATCACTCCGTCATCCGGCAAGGGAGACACCTGGACTGGAAGAAGTTCCACTTCGCAGCTTCTGTCAAGGTAATAAAGTCCTGCTCCTCAGCAGCCGCAGGTCATACGGTCGGGTTTTACGGTAATTAGGGTGTGGGTGAGTGACAGAGGGACAGAGAAGCAGAATTGTTTACCTTTTGTTTGATTGATTGGCATTACAAAACTGCCCACATGAATACTTGGCAGGATTACATCATCCGCAATGCGTAACGACTTGACTGGTTGGCACAACTGAATTCACTGTAACTGGAGTAACTGGATCTGCACTTGTAATCTGACTATGATGTTTTAACTTAAGAGGAAAGTGGGCCACTGTTAAACTGCTTATGGTAAAGCTGGTGGCCCACTGGCATTTTGCTCAGCCTTTTCAGGGCGGCCCACCGGTGGTTAAGCAGAGTATTACACAAAATTCTGCTTATCATCATTTTTCACTCCCAGTCCAATTTACTGATTTGTCCTTCCTTCCCTTCTTTAGTTGCACTTTGTAATATAAGTTTTTAGTAAATAATTTCAATCTAGCTCAGCATCAGCAAGAACTTTTCTATAACATCATTTTATATCAGGCACAGTCATAGTCACTTCTCTCAGTTGTTGGTAATATTTGTCTTAGCCTTTTATTTTAAAAAATAAACTATGTGCATTTAAAATCTATTTGGCGAGATTAAAAACTAGTGAGAGCTTGTATGCAGGACAGTGATCTGGGTGGTCCGAGGGTGGACCAGCAGTGGCAAACAGTCAACGGGGTGCCGACCTTATCAAGCCAGTGGACCGATATGTGCTTGCTATCTCGGAAATAAAGTAAAAAGTTATAATGTAAAAATTTTGACTTATTTTCTCAAAATATTGACTTAATATGTCAGAATAATTATTTGTTTCTTTCAAGATGATGACATATTACCTTGTAATAATGACTTCTATTCCTGAAATAATTTCTTACTTTCTTCAAATTTAATAACTCACTGTGTCGACATATTATTTCAAAATTTGAGAAAATAGGTTGTTATTTTAAGATACTACTGTCAATGTTTTGAGAAAGTAAGTTATTACAAAATATTAAGCAATTTTTTGGAGAAATTAAATCATTATTCTGAGAGACTGACTGAATATTTTGAGAAATTAAGTTGTTATTTAAAAACTTAAGCAAACTTTTTGAGAAACAAAATCATTATTTTGAAAGACTGACTGTGTATTCTGAGAAATCAAATCACTATTTCTAGATATTCTCATTGTTTCAACATATTAAGTCAATTTTTTCAAGAAAATAAATCATTTAGATATGTGAAGTCAGTGTTTTGAGAATGTAAGTCATTATTTTGAAATATTAAGTGATTATTTTGAGAAAATAAGTCGTTATTTCCAGATGATAAGTCAATATTCTGACATGCTTCTGTCAGAAACAGAAAAGCAGAATAAAAACCGTAGGTGATTTTTTTCCTGTAGAGTTATGCGGTTTGCCACAATGGTAGAACCCTTTTTGGTGCTATATACAACCATTTTTCAAAAGGTTGTTTAAAGAATAGGTTCTCCATCATGGAACCATTTAACCATGCAAGGACCATTCCAGCATCCAGATGGTTCTTTGAGTTGTCATGGTTCTCTATATAACCATAGCCTTTACTAAAGAACCCTTGAAGAACTTGAAGAAATGCAGTGAATTGTTTGCTAAAGAGTCCTAATCAAACTGAATCATTGTGAGGTCGTAGATTTGCACCCCTAATGTATATATAAGAGCCTACACTCTTAAAAATAAAGGTTTCCAATGATTCTTGGCTTGGACATATGGTTCTAGGTTGGTATAAAACGTGTAACCTTATTTGGAGGTTCCTAAGACTTTAAAAAATGTCTTCACACTCACACGTCTCATTTACAAACTGCTGAAAGTTCTTTAGAAAACTATGGGTGGTTCTTCCATGGCATCATTCCAAAGAACCAGGTTTGGCACCTTAATTTTTAATGATGTTCCTTTGAAAATGGTTTGTGTTGGTTCCTCCAGGCTTTTGGTCATAAGAGCATGGACCCAAGCCATGGTTACACAACAGAGAACCTGCACCAGACGTTCCTGAAGACGCTGCAAGGAGAAGCTCTGCCATCCCTGATACAGAACATGATGGAGAACCTGCAGAGCGTCATGCTGCAGTCTGACAGGCTTAAAGCCAGCCGCTCCGAGTGGGAGGTCGACGGCATCTTCGCTTTCTGCTATAAGGTCATGTTCGAGTCTGGCTACCTCACTCTGTTTGGGAAAGAGCTGGACGGAGATCAGAGCATCGCCCGTCAGCAAGCTCAGAAAGCCCTGGTCCTCAACGCTCTTGAGAACTTCAAAGAATTCGACAAGATTTTCCCAGCGTTAGTCGCCGGCCTGCCCATCCACGTGTTCAAAAGCGGCCACAGCGCCCGAGAGAACCTGGCCAAGACCATGCTGCACGAGAACCTCAGCAAACGCACCCAGATCTCCGACCTCATATCTCTGAGGATGCTGCTCAATGACACGCTCTCCACATTCAACGAAATCAGCAAGGCCAGGACGCACGTGGCCATCCTGTGGGCGTCTCAGGCCAACACCTTACCCGCAACCTTCTGGACCCTCTTCTACCTCATCAGGTAAAGCTTCTGCTCTCTGACATATATGCCTCATATATGGAGCCTTAAATATGGAGCTTTTAATATACAGCCTTATATAAGGAGGCCTACATACACAGCCATATATGGGGCTTTATATATATGTAGTCTTTAACATAGGCCATTTAACATTTATATGGAGCCTAATGTATGGAGCCATATATAGAGCCTAATGTATGGAGCTATATATAGAGCCATATATATGGAGCCTAAAGTATTAAGCCATGTAGGGAGTTTTACATATGGAGCCATATACAGACCCTTAAATATAGTGCCTAATGAATGGAGCCATATAGGGAGTTTTAAATATGGAGCCATATACAGAACCTAAAATATGGAGCCTAATGTATGGAGCCATATATAGAGCCATATATATGGAGCCTAAAGTATTGAGCCATATAGGGAGTTTTACATATGGAGCCATATATATAGAGCCTAAAGCATGGAGCCATATGGGGAGTTTTACATATGGAGCCATATATAGAACCTTATATATAGAGCCTAATGTATGGAGCCATATATGGAGCCATATATATGGAGCCTAATGTATGGAGCCGTATATGGAGTTTCACATGTTGAGCCAAACATAGAACCTTATTCATGGAGCCTAATGTATGGAGCTGTGTATGGAGCCTTATATATTGTGTCTTATGTAGACCCATATATGGATCTATACATGGAGACTTATACATGGAGTCTTGAGAATGGAGCCAAATATGAAGCCACATATATGAAGCCTTACATGGAACTATACATGGGGCCATATTTAGAGGCTTATATATGAAGCCACATATATAAAGCCTGATATAGGGAGCTATATATAGAGCAATAGTTCCATATGTAAGGCTCCATATATACATGGCTCCATATAAGGTTCCATTTATTATATAGAGCCATATATAGAGTCGTATATGTGAAGCTATATATGGCTGTATATAAGGTTTCATATATAGTGCTCTATATATTATATTTGTTATAATTATAAATATAATACATTATATTATCCACCCTGAATAGCCACACATATGCTTATATTCAAAATCACATTTGGTGCAGATGCAATGGTAACTTTATTAAAAGCGCTAAACTGTTAAAACATCATATATTTAATGGTGTTAATCTTGTTCTAATGCCTGCACTTATCAAATATATGGAGAAGTGATATATTGCCTATAAATCACTCTGCCTGTGAGCAGCCAGTTAGCTACTCAGCACAGTAGTCACTCCCTAGAGTTATCACTGAGCACATTAGACAGCGCTGATAGTGGTCAAGGTTAATTGGAGCGTTGGAGATAAGGGCTAGTGGATGGCTCTTGGCAAACACCTCTACTGTACTGATTATTCAGGTGAAGGTCGTATTCTTGGATACCAGTCATTTAGCGGCGTAGCTTTGTATTGTAATGCCGTTTCTGCACACGGCAAGAAACAAACAGTAATACTTTAGATCAAATGTAGCTAAATGAATGGTGCTACTGTCTTTAGCCGTGTGATGTACTTCAGTCCATGTTTATAGATATCAGTGAGTCATACAGAGTCAGAAACCACATAGTCAAGTCTGTCAGAGATCCACACGCTTTGAGGCGAGTGTGATGATTAAGACACGCTCAAATTTGAAAACTCTTATCTGTTTACAGTAAATTGTTTACCTTGTGTTTTTTTTAGGTGTCCGGCGGCGATGAAGGCAGCCAGTGAAGAAGTGAGGAACATTTTTGAGAGTTCCAACCAGAAAGTTGATCCAAAGAACCCTCGTCTCATCCTGACCAGAGAACAGCTGGACAACATGCCGGTCCTCGGTAGGAAACAAGTCAAACAATTTCATCACTGTTATCACTGTTTTAACTGTTCTAAAGTTTATGGTCAGAATGAAAGTTCACCTTGTGTCAGAGACTCCGACACACATTGTGGTAACAACCTGAACTCACTGCTGATGCCATATAAGATAATAACTTATATCTGTGTTATTCCATTGGCAGATTAGTTAGCTTGTTTTGAGAAATAATCAAGATAATTTTGCTCTTTTCAAGAAATAATGATTAAAACAAGAAATATGATCTGCCAATGAAATAAGACACTTTTATAAGATAAACTGCTTAAAAACAAGTAAAAATGTCTAGAAATAAGTTAAATAATCTCACAATATTCTTCAGTAGATATATTGACTACATTTAAGATCACTAAGACACTCACTAAGATATCATTTATTGCATTGTAAACATGCTGTTTTTATTGCTGTGTCTTTAAGCCTGATATATGTAAATGAGCTCTGTTCTGAGTGCTATATCCACAAAGCACTGAGCTGAAACACTCCTTATAACTTCAGTATGAGTGGGTGGAGCTAAACTGCTGTAGACTGAACACACCGATCAGCCATAATTGGAAAACCTCCTCCTTGTTTCTACACTCTTTGTCCGATTTATCAGCTCCACTGACCATATAGGAGCACTTTGTAGTTTGTAGTTCTCCAATTCATCACACTAAATGCAGTTGCACAAAAATGGGTGACATAAACCTCACAGGCCACCAAAAATGTCACACAACACTGTTTTTGAAACACCTGTTTCCAGACTGTTCCATCTTCACCTTCATCTTCTGTTGAATCTTTGGAAATTCAGTGAATTCAGCATCTTGTTGGGTTGACAAGAGTAAATAATGTACTATTTGGTTTCCTGTCGAACAGACAGCATCATTAAGGAAGCGATGAGGCTGTCCAGTGCGTCCCTGAACGTCCGAGTGGCCAAAGAGGACTTCCTGCTGCACCTGGACAACAAAGAGTCCTACCGCATCCGTAAGGACGACGTCATAGCGCTGTACCCTCAGATGCTCCACTTTGATCCGGAAATCTACGAGGATCCTCTGGTGAGTGCACAGCTTTCTGAGTGAAAGAGATTAAAGTGTCAAATTTTATTCTAAACTACTGACTTCAATTGAGACTGTACATACACGCTGGGTGAATAATAGGTTATGTAGCATAATAAGTCCTGGGAATAATGATAACCCTTAGATGTCCAGACATTACTGTGTGGAGCATTGCTGTACTGTCTGGAACATTGCTGCTAACACTGTGTTTTACTTAAGTACTGTGTATATAGTAGCAGCTCCGCTCACGTATGTCATAATCTGACTGCGTAAACTCACAAAACAGAGCATCTTAAATATCTTTGTACCTTATTCTCACTTCTTATGCTCAGAAATGAGGGCTGTGTTGGCGCAGCACTGTCCTGTCTGTTTACTGTGTCTAATGTCTGTTTTGTTTATTGTACTTATTGTATTTTTTGTAGTTTAATGTTTTGCACACTCACGTCTGCACATTTGCACTTTGTACTGTTTATTTTGTTCTATTTTGCACCGTGTTGGTGCTGGATAAACGTAATTTCGCTCCACTGTGTACTTTTACACAGACGGAATGACTATAGAAGCCTCTTGACTTGACAAGATTAATTACATCATTACATAATTAAGTTTGATTCTGCAGTTCCAACATTTTTCTGTTTGTTTCAGTGTCCAAAATAGACTAAACTGACTAAAGTGATATAATAATATATATCATAAATGTCATGTGGCTGAAGTTGGCTTCCTATTTTCGAGCTTTTTTTTTAATTTTCCGTTCCACCTTAAATGGTAAAAGTGACGACAGTGGGACCCAAATTGAAAAAATGATAACAGCGAAAATGTTTTTTTTGGATATACAAACAAAGATGTGTTGTTGAATAATTAAAAATAATTCTGAATTATATAAGTAATGTTAAATTGATTTTTAGTCATGTTTACATTAAAGTGACCCAATTCTCACCACAACACAATATAATTTGAAGATAAATATAAAAATAATGTTTTCTTTTCAAAGTCTGTATACTCTTGTCAGACCAAGTATTTTAAAGATAATTATTAATTATTAGTATTTTGCAATTTTATGTTTGTTTTTTTCAGTTGTGCCACAAAATACCTTGCTTTTTTGGTTCACATCCTTACACTTTTCAAATAAATCGTTAAAGTGAAGAGATTCAACAGTTAAAAGTAATACAAAGTCATTTTTGTGTAACTAAAAAAGGCAAAAAAATAATAAATATCGGCGACAAGACACGTGGACATATTATAATAATGAGATTTGGGGTTATGAATGTTGAAAAACATAAAATAGAAATAGAAAATAGAAATAGAAAAATAGAAAAATGAATAGAAACACAAACTTTGCTGTACCATACAGAGCTTCTACAAAATGATATGAATATTGTTATCAGTCAGCCTTTAAACACCCAGAACCCACCGGTGGGCCCAAAGTGTTATTACAAACTTCTATAACCTAAGAATAGCTCAACCAATGTCCTGTTACAAATATCTGCAATCCCATTTCTTCCCTTCACAGACGTACAAGTATGACCGGTACCTGGACGAGAACGGGCAGGAGAAGACCAGTTTTTACAGAGGAGGCCGCAAACTGCGCTACTACTACATGCCCTTCGGCTCCGGGGTCACCAAGTGTCCCGGCCGCTTCTTCGCCGTTCACGAGATTAAACAGTTCCTGTCGCTGGTGTTGTCCTACTTTGACTTGGAGCTGTTGGACTCTGCAGCGAAGATTCCCCCTCTGGACCAGTCCCGCGCCGGACTGGGCATTTTACAGCCCATCTACGACGTTGACTTCAGATACCGACTCAAAGCTCAATAGGAATCTCACACTTTGTTTGTATTTATTGACTGTTCAGAGAACTGAGACCGTTGTGTTGTTTTTGTTACGTTAAGTCCAGACAAACGAAAGATCTTAGTGAAAATCTTAATTTTTGACTCTCCTGAATGAATGTAAATGAAGCCACACACTCCCCGTATGACTTTCTGGGCCGCTGTCACCTCAGAAAGCCAAAATGTGAATGTTTTTCAGGCCAAACCAGTGTTAAATATTCTCATCTCTGCTATTGAAGGGGAACTCCACTGACTTTTTCAGAATTTGTGCATAATTCAATCACTGATTTGAAGTCTAGGTTTAGGTTTAGGGTTTGGTGTGAAATGGTTGATTGTAGAGACTCTTTACACTGATTTTCTTTACAGTGGTGGTGATAGGAACCAGGGGTCGCCATGACTACAACACAGATATAGGCATTTTATTTACTATCCAGAACCACCAGTGAACCTACACGAGTCTTCTGAGCTTTTATATGGAATGTAGATGGTAAAATAGTAGAAAATCTGAAATAATAAGCTTTTTTAGTCCAAAATCTTCTCAAAACCATCACAAAACAGGGTCTTAGACATCAGGAAGTGAATTCATAACCATTTCATGTAGTAACTTCCTGTGAGGGAGCTTTTAGAGGTGGACGTCTGGTTCCTATCACCACCACTGTGAACAGTTCTAACTCGGTAAGTTTCTCTAGAGCCGAACGTTTCACACCAAACCACTCTGAACGACTCTGTTTACATCAATCAAATCAGTTGAATTCCCCTTTAAATTACCATGGAGGCACAATGACAGCAGTGAAATGTATGTAGTTCTGACAGTAATTGTTTTTTTGTGCCGATTTGAAGTGTTTGTATGTAATATGAAGTAACGAGCGATGATTAGTGACAATATTAGCACTTTCAAAGCTGTTTTAGCTGAAACCTCATAGCTTTTTCTCACTTATCAGTAATATTTACTGCCTAGGAGCCATGAGTTTCTAACTGATTTTCTGCTGTTAATTTTACCCATGATTAATGGCTTTAAATAATGCTATTACTGTGAGGAAAAAGAAACCTCTAAGAAAAGCCCTAACATGTCAGAATGATGCTTACTCTGTACAGAAATGTAACGACTGCTGCAGATTTGTTTGCTTGCCATAGTTCTCACAGTTGCTGCTCATTGAATCCAATTAAAACTTTTGTAGGACATTGTAGTTTCATAAGAAGCTTGTTTTTAGATGCAAAACTGGCCTTTAATTCACTCACTCACTCACTTATTCACTCACTCACTTACTCACATTTAGCAGGCTGAAGATAGTCCACAAGGGGGCGCAAATAGCACTCAAGTAGAATTTGATGCTTTATAAAAGTGGAGCTTCACATTAGTGACACTGGCTGTCCTTATTTGTTTAATTGTTTACTTAACTGCATGTTCATCCCCATTTATGCCCTTCTCGCTGTAAGCACAAACACTCTGAAATGACCCATACAAAAGTGCAATACACTGAAAATGACTACACATATTACCATATATTCCAACAGTATATAGCAGTATATGGCATTGTCATAGGAGGATAGAATCAGAATCAGAATCAAGCTTTATTGGCCAGGTATGCTTACACACACAAGGAATTTGGTTTTGGTTACAGGAGCTCACAGTGCACAGTATCAAACATTTACATGTAGTGAATAAAATAAAATAAAATAAATATAAAATAAAATACAAAAAAATCAAATAAAGATAAAATAGTCAAGTTTATATGTCTGTATGTTACGTGAACCTTACAAACACAGTACAGGGCCAAAAAACATACTCAATACAGAACTTAAATTTGACATTTTCTGCAGATTTTAGTCACAATTTAACATATTGGAAAAAAATCTAATATAAAAGATATGCTATAACTCGCACAGGCCACATTTCATATTTTATTTTCCCCCTAATATATTTAATTCACCAAATAAACACTAATTCTGCGTTAAAATGTAAAACATAAAAAGTGTGTTCTCTGTGGAGGATGTGTTCACTTATTTACGCTTAATAAAGCAACAAGATGTGATTTGACCAGGGGCGCACAAACTTTTGCTTATGACCGTATAATGTGAATGTCAGGCCGGCTGTCTGTTTCACAAAAAAAGGAAGAGGCTTCTATTTTCAGAGCAGCGTCTGTTCTCATAAATTCTGCAGTGCTCTGCACTTTCCCAAGTATTTCTAGCATGAAGTTGAGCCATTCTTCAGAAAGCACTGAGCAACTGTCTGTCGGACAGCAGGGAGCGGAAAATATGAGCGAAAGGCTTTTTTTCTTCCTCTACTACCAGTAAAAACATGCCTCTTTTTAAGTTTGCAAGTTTAGGATGATGATTGTTCTTCAACTTCAAAGTAACTGGAACAAATTACCGTAATCACATAAACAAATTAGACACAAAAACTAATAATATGACAAACATTTTGTTTACAACATTTTTACATCACTTTTACAAATGCATTATTAATGATTCATGATTTATTAATCACTATTAAAAAGAGTTAACATACTTTGGCCTCTTTATTAGAAACACCTGCCTTGTGCTTCCACTAACTGGCCACTTTATTAGAAACACCTGCCTTGTGCTTCCACTCACTGGCCACTTTATTAGAAACACCTGCCTTGTACATCCACTAACTGGCCACTTTATCAGAAACACTTACCTTGTACCTTAACTAACTGGCCACTTTATCAGAAACACTTACCTTGTACCTTAACTAACTGGCCACTTTACTAGAAACACCTGCCTTGTACTTCCACTCACTGGCCACTTTATTAGAGATACCTAGCTTTTACTTCCACTCACTGGCCACTTTGTTGGAAACACCTACCTTGTGTTTCTACTAACTGGCCTTAAGACTTAAGACTTGCCTGTTTTGACTCGAAACTTGACTTTAGACGCCTGTACTGACTTGAGACATAATGAGACTTCAATATGTTCAATATGAGTTCAATATGAGTCTGTATTGACTCAAGATTCTACTTGCCTGTACTGCCTTAGGACTCAAAATGTAACTTGTCTGTACTGAATCATGACTCTACTTGAGACTTGCCTGCTTTGACTTGAAACTCTACTTGGGATTTGCCTGTATTGACTCAAAAATTGAATCGTGACTTGAATGTACTGACTTGAGGCTCAACTTGAGATTTACCTGTATTGACTCATGACATAACTTCAGATTTGCGTGTATTGATCCGAGACTTGAATCGTGACTCGACTCGAGACTCCACTTGAGACTCACCTGCATTCACTCGAAACTCTACTTGAGGCTTGCTTGCATTGACTCGAGACTTGAATCGTGACTTGTCTGTACTGACATGAGTCTACTTGAGATGTGCCTTGACTCTACCTGAGATGTGCCTGTACTGACTCGTGACCTGACTCGACCCTTGCCTGTACTGAATCAGGACTCAAGACTCGACTGTCTTTGACACTTTGTGACCCCAAAGCTGGTGAAAGGTGGCTGTGCGCTCCAACGTGTAAGAGTGAGTTTGTGGGTTTTACTGCCTGCTCTGACCTTTCCCCATTACACAATCAACATGCCAACACACACACTGCGGAAGAGCAACTGGCACAGGACAAGGAATGGGAAAGAGATTAGCTTTGATAACCAGACAATCATTAAAGTCTGCTCTGTTAGTCGTGTGGACAGGAAAAAATAAAATGATTTATAGGTCAACGTGTAAAAATCAATGTTTCCAATAAAATAAATCCAGTCTAGTTGCAGATAAATGTATAAAATGATTCTAATATACAGCTTCACAGGTTTCAGGTAATCAGCTGAAAAAAGAAGAAATATTAGTGTTTCTAGCTGCAGAAGATTCACATCATGAATGAATCCAAAAATATTTATCAACTATTAATGCAGATAACTTGGAAGTGAATTACTATAAAGAGATAATATAATTTACATTGATTTTTAATGTAATAAAATGTTTAAAAATACCTGTTGGTGACTAATTAGTTATATAATTATAACAAGGTATTGAACATAAAACAAAAAGCAATGAATTCATAACCGTTTCATGTAGTAACTTTCTGTGAAGGAGCTTTTAGAGGTGGACGTCTGGTTCCTATCACCACCACTGTGAACAGTTCTGATTCTAGATTGGAGCATTTCACACCAAACCACTCTGAATGACTCTTTTTACATCTTAGTCACTTTTAATTGTGCTGAAATTCTGTAAAATTGGTGGAATTCCCCTTTGAGGTCCAAAGGAGTGCTTCAGGTTTTGTGTTTTTCACTGTTGACCTCAGTAACCGCAGATGGCCGTGGTTGTCCACCGGAGCTGAAATGATGTTTGCTCTTGACTGGATTGACACAAGCTTATCTTTTCTGCGGTGCTGTTAAATGTTTTGTGACTCATCAAACTGAGGGGTCACTAAAGTTCAAGGAGAACCGGCCACTACAAAACACACTATCGCAGTTTATTGTCCAGGTCCTTTATTGTCTTTCATTCAAGTTCTCACAGCACAATGAAATTCTCAGTTCCTTCTGTTCATCAATAACACCTTAAACTAAAATCTGGTAACTCAGTTATTAATCTTTATTCATCTGAAATGGAGAAAACATTGTTTCCTCAATGTGTTCAGCCCATTCAGTCAGTATATGGAGACTAAGCTGTAAAAACATCCTGTTTTCAATTCACTATACTTGTGATGTTGCAAAATCCAACGCATTTGCAAATATCCCCTTATTTAGCCTACAGCAGTTTAGCCCCGCCCATTCAGAAATGCGGTCCCCCAGTGTTTTGCGTCAGCTCTGTTGGAAATGTGCCTGTATGCAGTAAAAAGACGCTTCACTGAGCATCAAAACACTTCAAACCATTTTAACTTGTGTCTGCGTCTACCGCTCCGTCTTTGCGTTGTCTAGCCAAGGGGTCAGCAAAATGTGGCTCCAGAGCCACATACGGCTCTCTAACTGCCCTGTTGCGGCTCCGCATCAGAATCAGATTAGTAGGTAAAAATAAAATAATCCTCCTTTACAGTAAAATAAAGCTCTGCTGATCGTTCAACACAGTTTAACAATAAATGGTCTTAAACTCTGGAGTTAATGTAGAACTGCTGATTCACCCTTTAACCCTGAAGATCAGCGCAGACTGCTTGTCACCATAGCAATGCAGGCAACAGTCTCGCCTAGCTAGTAGCTAACGAAACGGCAAACAGAGAGATTTAAGATGAACATCGATAATTTGGAGACAAATGGACTCATTTGCATTTATAATCACTCCAGCTGGTTTCCTGATACGTTTAATCTGCAATGATAAACTGACAAACACTTAAAAGTCACGAAGCTGAAGTTGCTTCTGATTCTCCAGCTTCTTGTTCAAATTTTCCCGTTCCACCTTAAATGGTGCAGCAGTTACATTCTGGCCCTTCAGGCACCATTTAAGGTGGAACGGGAAAATTTGAACAAGAAGCTGGAGAATGAGAAGCGACTTCAGTCTCGTACAAAGTCCAACGTTGAGAGACGTTTTACAAGAAACTGTTCTACTTTTGTGGAAAAGTTTCCTGCTGGAGATGCGAGAAAAGCAGCTATAGCTGAGCTAAAGCTTAAAGCAGAGCAAAGTAAGTCTGTGTTCACATTTATATTTTTTAGTCTATACTAGTACATCAGCACATACTGAGACACATTTACAGTCAAGGTGGTAAAATGGATATAAAATGTTGTGGCTCCCAAAGTGATTTGATTTTTGTTGAAATGATAAAATGGCTCTTAACACTGGGGTAGCGACCCCTGGTCTAGTGTTTAGGCAGCCTAAGAAGGACTTCAGCTTTAAGGGCTTTCAGAATAAAGCACAATATAGGGCAGCTAATCAGAACAGAGCTCATTTACATATATTATTCTTATACAGCCTATTAATTTTAAGGAATAAAGAGACGAAAAGGTCATGTAAATTAATTATGACTGTTTTGGGTACATAAAACAACACAAATGTAATAAGGGGATCTCTGTAATTACTATATATTATTCAACATCTATTCTGAACTATTCAGTATCTACTTCGAATTATTCAATAATTACAATGAATTATTCAGAATTCATTGTACGTTCTGCAGTTATGAGAGTGAACTGTGAAGTGAGGACCCACATTCAAACCTTAGAGTATGACGAGGAAGGAAACAAATGCAATATTGGTAAATTATAATGAATAATAATAATAATAATAATAATAATAGTC